ACAGATGTAAAGAAAATGTTATTTAAAAGGTAAAAATAGCATCTATCAAATAAAAATAAACATCATGGAAAGTTTTCCCTACAAAATATCTTAAAACATTTACAATGCTAATTTAAGTTAAAAAAATGACTATTTTTTTATTTTTCTTAAAATACTTCAAAAACTAGCACATTGATACTAATTTTTTTAATACTGTCCTAATAATTAAGGATATTACTTACAAATTGATATTAAAATTATTGTTCTTAATTGCATAACTCGAGAGTTAACGCTGTTTGAAATGACCCTTTTGCAAGGGTCATGTACGTAGAGCCTCATATAAGCGCTATTAATTTTCGATAATGGATTAAATAAAAATACACTATAACTTTAAAGAAACTTTTAATGGTATTAAGTATTATTATTAATTTAATAATTGTTCAAAATGTCCACCTCTATTCTGTAGACCTTCCAGCCATTTGTTGTGTGGCCCTTGATATCAAAACTATGTCGGGTCTTATGTCATCTGCAATCGTCACTATTGTGTCGAGCAGTTCTTGTCTGTTATTTGGGACAGTAGCATAAACCCTCTGCTTCATCCATCGCCATAAAAAATAATTCAAAGGTGTTAAATCCGGAGAGCGAGGTGGCTAAGCTACCGTTCCGCCACGTCCTATCCATGGTGAATAATTTTCATTATGATAAGCTATCACAGTACGTGCGTAGTGAGCTGGTGCACCGTCCAACTGTCCTCCATGATTTCTCTAAATGTGTTCCTTAGAAAATCTAAAAATCTTGGGCCATTCATTGTATTTGGTAATTCAATTGGTCCAATTAATTTGTCGTCAATCATAGCCGCCCACACATTTACTGAAAATTCATGTTAAAATTTACTGGGCCTCTCTGCATTTGGATTTTCTTGCATCCATAAATGCTGGTTTCTATGGTTTATAATACCAGCTCTTGTAAAAGTCGCCTCATTGATCCACATGATTTTTTTACAAAATGTCGGTTGACGTCGCACACAACCGTTGAGCCACGAGCAAAAAGTGGCTCGCACAGCATAGTCCGGCTCTCGAATATCTTGCACGAGACGAAAACGGTACGGATGCATGCCTTCGCGTTTTAAAATTTTCCACACAATCCATTTTGACAAATGCAGCATGATTGCTATTCGCCTTACACTGAGCCTGGGATCTCGGTAAATAAGTTGAAGAACTTCTTCTTCTGCTTGCACTGACACTATGCGGGAGCGTTCATTTGGCGGCCTTTGGATGCCATATTGCGACAATCTTAAGTGAATGTCAACAAAAGTTTGTCGACTGGGTGTAGGCCGGTCGGGATACCTCTGACGATACATTCGTATGGCGGCAGCAGCGCTTCCATTACATCTGCCATACACGAAATGCATGTCAGCTATGTGATGAGACGAATAGTTAGACATGTTCTTATCCGAAAAGTAAAAGTCACTGCAAACTACAACAAACTCAGCAGAATATCTCGGTGAAGGAATAGTTCACAAAACGGAACGGAATAGTAGCGATCGCAACGCAGAGCGGAGGACAACTGATCTAACAAAGACAAACATTTATCTTCGATACCTGCGCTGGTCAAACATGATTTTTGTTCAACTTATTCACCGACCTAACAATAATACAAATCATTTTCCGTCCTTGTCACATAAACCATATTCAATGTAGCAGGTAGCTCTACATGGGTTTGGGAGGGTCATATCAAGGGTCATATTCAAAGAGCCCTAACTCTCGAGTTATGCAATTAAGAACAATAATTTTAATGTAAATTTGTAAGTAATATCCTTAAGTATTAAAAAATAGTATCAATGTGCTAGTTTTTGAAGTATGTTAATTAAAAAATAAAAAAAAAAATAATCATTTTTTTTAACTTAAATTAGCATTGTAAATATTTTAAGATATTTTGTAGGGAAAACTTTCCATGATGTTTATTTTTATTTGATAGATGCTATGTGAACCTTTTAAATAACATTTTTTTACATCTGTAGGACCTTTCTGTCCAGAGAAATCTGCATCTTTTGGCAGAGGTATCTTTGTAGATACCTCTGCAGATTTCTTTTTTTTATTCTTGTGAATAAAAAAAAATTAAATGGCGGCCATTCCGACAGGAGGGGGGATAGACCCCCATATATGGGTGTTTTCGTCGATGAAATTAGGTATATTTTGTAACCTTAAATTATCGCTAGGTCGTGACCAGACACACTGTATAATAGGTATTTATGTTACGTAAAAATGAATATAAACTGTTGTGTACGTCCAATAAATAAATAAATTTACAGTGACCGTGAGAAGAACATTCATGAACGGGAGTAGAAATATATTCAAGAATGCACTACCCCATACCGTCCTGTGGATGTTGTAAGAGGCTAAAGAGGAAAACTGAAACAACATGTAGGCTCTTCCTGATAACAGCTCAAAACAATGAAAGCTACCGTTACAAGCCCGCCTGCCAAGCGATGAAATCACGGCAAGTATCCAGCATATCTGGCAATACTTTTGATTGGCAGTAATGATGACAATTATGAGTTCTCCTCATCTCCACTGCACTTAATATTAACGGTAGAATGAAAATGACATGAAACATCTCCAAAAAGGTTAATGAAATTAAAACTGCATAATTAACAGTAAATAAGTAGCGGCCTACAACCTACACACATCCCACAATTGGGGACAGGCTGCAGATAGTTTTGGGATTAACTTCAAAGATATGGTGGTTCCCTTGCAATTATTTTTTTCACCGTCTAGATCTAGAACGTGGTAAATCGACACTTCATATTGTAACTAAGGTGTGAGTGCGGTGTCAGCGTTAATCGAATTTGGGTTGCTTACGTACAATGAAATTTACGTTTGGATTGGTTCTATTACCGGCTTTGGCAAGTGACTTTCAAACTTTCAAAATTCTATCAATGCAATGTTACTTATAGGTAGTAATTTAAATAATACTGGTTTTTTTTTACGGGTTATATTAACTTTTTTATATATCCGCCGTTTCGAGCACTTTACAGTAAACATGGTCACGGGGGCTATTTTAATTTATGAAAAATTAAAAACCAAAGAAGAAAAATCATAGCTATCTTAATATATGATAAACTGTTTGATAAGTCTCATTAAAAGTAATGAGGTAAAATAGCAGCTTACGTCTCACGACCGTGCACATACAAGGCTCTTTATTACCAATAGTGTTTTTTGGGCAAGAAATAGTTCACCAGATTGCTTCAAATACGTATTAGCGGTTTTCAGATGTCCATATTTTTAACTACCCCCTAATAAAACTGAAAATTTTCAAAAATGGGGAAGTTAATGTCTTTACTCCGTTTTTCGAACTTTGAGTTTTAATCAATTTGACGTTTTGAGGTCACAGGAAGCAACCCCGACAATTTTTCGATGGTGTCTTATAGCTTTTGAACGGCTTGTCCGATTGAAGTGAACTAAACGCAGTCCGTTTAACGGATTTCCAAAGTGTTTCATCAAACTTACCTATATCTACGAATTTTAACTAATTCGAACCGGAAAATTTAGAGAAATCTCAAAAATAATAATTTTGAAAAACTATTTTTTTGGAAAAACTTTAAACGGTTATACCAATCGATTCCAAAAAACAATCAGCTTTTAACGTTGAAAAACCACGTCGATCGCCGCCGGTCCGGTCAAAACTGGTTGATTCGTTCGTCTTTTCTACATATTTATTATACCTAATTAGATTTACCTACTAGACAGTATTATTGTCTGCACGAACATGCACATGCTAATGTCTGAACTATCATTTTGATTTGCACTGCAAGTAACTATTTAGATTATTATTATAAAATACGCACTAAATAAATCAGAAACTTTTTGTATTTAAAAAAAACATAAATGGTGCGATCCAAAACATTTAGGTAAGTAAAAGTTTGCCGGTAGAGCCCTATAATAACTTTTCAGCGTAAAAAACGGCAGACAACAAAAACCTTTTATCGGCGCTCATCCAATGCCGTTGATGCGGAAAAAATGGATCCAAAGAGATAAGACTAAGTGATACCGTGATTGAGTTTGACTAAAGCATTCATCCGAATACCGAACAGAGTTTGCGACAAACTACAAATACGTCTAATACCTACTAATAGTAAAAAGAGAACGACGTAAGTATTCGAGTTTCGAGTTTGACTCTCGACTCTCCGCCTCTATTCCCCCAAACTCCTGAACCCGACCAAAATGTCGTCATCGACAATCTTCCCCCTTCTATATTCCTTCCTCACTCCGCGGACATGCGCTCGTAGGATAGAGTCGACATAATCAAATTGCGACGCCGACGTTCAAATAATCAACAATCATAATATTATAGCTTTATTTTTTTTAGTTAATTGTAATTTTTTGTGATTGGTCTTCAGTAACACTTTTAAGAACTTAAAAAAAACTTTGATCTAAGGAATAAAAAATGTACACAGGTATTTTATATAAAAATCTCACACCTATTTGATAATTTAGAATTACTTTTTTCTATTAATGAAGATGCTTTATTTGGTAAAACAAACGCAGCTCGCTAAACGTGAATAAGAATAATATTTTACCGCCATATAATAATATGCAGACGCATGCGCGATCTCGAAACGACCCGCAGTAAAACGACTGGTCACGTGACTCGACGCGGCATTCGCTCGGCGCGCTTCGGCAGTTGTCGGCGAACTTGCTTCACGGCAGTGCGTCTGTTGTGTTAAGTCGAACATCGCATAAATGTCAAATTAAACGATTTCGTCAAAAAAACATGACATGTGCTTCGCGATATCGTAAACATACGCGTACATAGCATTATGACGATCGGTAGCGTGTATATACTACTTATCAGCCGTGTTTAGTTGCTGATTTTCGTGTAGCAGTTTTATAATCCCGGCTCATGCTAGTGATTTCGCTACTCGCTAAAACATTTCTGATGGCACGGTACTTATTCGTATGAAGCGTTTTTAGGAATACTTTTTAGAAGTGGTGTGTTATTGGTTTTTTTAAGAGTGTACGATGGACCGCGTCAGCGGTGTGTGTAGGTTTGGAGGAGTTGTGTCCGCGGTGAGAACGCGGACGGGGCGCAGCAGAAGACGCCTTACTGGTTCAGGTCAAACGCCTGAAGAATTGCCAGAAGCGCCTCGCCGCGGGCTTGGGGCGATATTGGTCTTAGCGTGCATCCTGGTGTACCACAATAGCCTCTACTGCGGCTTCGTGTTTGACGACATCAGTGCCATAAAGGAGAATAGGGACCTGAGACCCCAGACACCGATATCGAATATTTTCCTGAACGACTTTTGGGGAACTCCAATACATAAGGTTAATATTAAGAAATACGTATTTGTTAAATTAAAATAACTCTTAGCTTCAAAAATTAAGTACTAGTTTTAAAATAATGTGGCAGACGAAAATAATAAAGCGTAAGTAAAATAAGTTTGATATCGGTAAAGTATTCACTAAGCAGCTAAATAAAATTTATAAAATTTATTTAGTTGCTTAGTTTATAAATTATCGACAGTAAAATATAAAATATAGCAAACTTTTCTTTTTTTTCCCTTACAATTAATATTTCTTACGCTAGATATATTTACGCCGACCTTAGTTAATTAGGTAGGTACCTACTTTTAACATTTTTATAACATTTCTACCGCGTATTACAAAACGCGAAATAAACATAAAATGCGTAAAATTGTACTATTTTTCATATCAGCAGTTTATTATCAAAAAAGATTCATAAATTGCAAATGAAAAGATAAATAAATAATTGTAACCCGACGCTAAGTGTTCCATGTCAGTTATTATGAAAAAAAAAACTTAGTTTTTAGAGAATATTTTAATATAAATGGGTACTTAATATTATATATAATTTTAAATTAGTTTCCTGTAAATCAACTCGATGCATTTTACACATCTTAAGTGATTTCACTAGTGCCCCATTAGTGCATTTTAGGTAATGACCTCTCACTGGCTAAAACGTTCAACATTTTCAAAAGTCAACGGCATATTTTCACCATTCTTACGTATGATGGTGTTAATTTAAAAGAAGTACCTGTACCAAAGAGATGGTACTCTAACCTTAAATTACTAATTGCTTAACATAATTAGCTGACTCTCCCGATACTTCGTTCACATGTACAAATTCCGATTCTAACTTCTTTTAGCACAAAAAAACTTACTCTATCCCTGAGTGAGTCCAAAATTTTAGGATTGCAGAGTATTATTTATTTATTTATTCTTTTTTGTACACCACAAAACAGAAACATCAAGTACAGTTAAAACTATATTATATTGATTACATAGAGTATATATATAATAGAGTATATATACAATAGAGTATATATACAATAGAGTATATTGATTTACAGAAGATCCTACACGAGACGAACCATCACCATTTATGAGAAAAGCACCTTTTTCTCAAGTCGATGCCCACCTGCGTAAAAGTTTGTCGCTGGGAATTATTTATCGGGATGTTAAACCTTCTCCAAGTTTTAGCAGCTCTCCCGGAAAATGGATATTGTGACTGTTATTTAAATGTGCTCTCGTGTTCCTGCCCAAATTAGGCGTTCTAATCGAACTCGACAATAGAAACTACTTCATGACTTCGGCATGCGTCTGTTATGATCATTGGAAATGTTTGTCAAATCTCATCACAGTACGGTCCACAGCATATATACGAGCCCTATGGCTCATAGTGCACTCATCCCCAATGATAAGTCCCGTCTCTTGCAATAGTTTTTCCAGAGGACCATTTTTTCGAGTTGAGTATACGTACTGCTAACTAACTCTAAACACACAGTCGATGGTAATTTAAACGTTTAGTGGGCTGTTTTTCCGTCGTTTACTCGTAATAAGGTAGCAGCAATTCCACATTGCCGTACTTTGACTAATTGGTAAGGAAAGTCTTCCCGGTACACTACCATGGGCACCTAATCTAATATAATTTTAAAATAATAACTGCCCGTTATTATTTTCAGGGCTTCATTTATGGCATTAAAAGCTATCCTTCGGTCTGCCATTAATTTGGACAAATTTGATTTGACATTTTAACAAATTGACATTCGTATGCTTTACAGTCGTATATTTGGACGTATAAACTTTATAAACATGATCCTCATTGGTCTGGTGGTCGTAAACGCAATTCGAATCCCGAGTTGCGCTAAAATCAGTTAACACAGCCGTAACCGAAATTCGGTCTATTGGATATTATTATATAGGTTGATAATAATAATATAGATAGTATAATATAGATAGACAGTATAAATAGATAAATAAGATAACTCTTGTTTATCTATTTATACTGTCTATCTATATTGAATCTAAATGAATCTATATTGATTTAAATTATTCTATTCTCATCTTAGTTCGTTTTTATATTTGTACGAGACGAAAAGTCCGATTCCATTAATTTAAATAGGAATTTACACCTACACATACAACCTCGATTAATGAAATTATTTTACTGGGTAAGGGATAAGTTTCCTTTCTATCGGTGTACTTATTAAGGTGCTTTGAGATAAATCCGACATTTTCTGATTGTTTCATACGATGCATGTTTAATGATTATTTAGAAAAAATCTATACTTACTTACAACCAAATCATGTCTCTTTTATTCATTGAAATACATTTTGTAATTAATTTCTTATTCATCTTAATAAAATGATTTTGCGTTGCGTAAATACAGTCATTTCAAAATTTGAAATATTTTTTCTGAATAAGGTATAATGTAATTTCTATTATAAGGCGGAGTAATTTCGAAAATTCGGTAAAATAATCCTGATGACTATCGACATAAGGTTTGAATTAACTTTTCATCTGTCTATATCCCTCTACAAAAAGCATTAACTGATACTTTATGTTTTTAATTCAACTGTTTCGCTCTCTTGAATTTTCGGAATTACTCCATGTAAAGTCCAGTGGTTCTAAACTTCTAAGGTTGTGTTTCCACGGCAGCGAGCATCTTTCTTTACCGTGGTTGGACAGTTCTAGACTTGTTAAAGAGGTTCCTTCAAACTTTTATGACTGGTATTAAGCCGTTGCTGCACCATTCCATGAATCTATACTTTGTGATAGGGGATGGAAAATTTTCTATATTACTCCATAACTCCGTCAAAGCTGAATCGATTTCAAAAATCTTCTTTTACAAAGGTTAAAGGTTATATTGTCACATTGATCTCTTGTAAATTTCGTAGAGATCTGATGCATAGTTTAAAGATGGAGTAGGGAACTCCTCAGCGTTATTTACGAGGCATTCTTCCTCCGGTAACAATTTATAGAAATTAATAGTGATCTTCTAATAAGTCAATTTTATTATGAAAAATTGTTTCAAAAACTAAGACTCGGTAACTAAAGTTCCGGACAACTAAAACGTTTAGAGTTTGACTATAATACATTGTTATCTTGTAATTTTATATGACGAGAATGATAATAGAATAAAAGTCTGTCTATACATTTGGCAGAGCGATAGGTACGTTTGTCCACTTCCTTTGGTTAAATACATAGGTTGAACGTGCAAACAATTAACCAAAATAACAATATATGATGACAAAAGATTGACAACCGTTGGTACCTACTATGGAAGAGTAGTTTGATAGTCCATTAATTGGTAATTAACCCTCTGGGGTATTTCCTAACAAAAATCAAAAACAGTAGCTGGCGTATCCTAACCTATAAAATAAAGCACCAAAAACGATTATCTATAATTAAATCAAACAATCATTACAATTATTGACCAAGTTCCCAAGATATTGGACGCGGGGTAATTCCGAAAAACCAAAAAGAGTTAAAAAAAGCTGTTGTCATCGGAAAGTCAACACGCGCAAGTGACACTAGCGAAATGCTTAGCCACTGTTTTAAAGAGCTGTCAAATATATCTGCTAGAACTTAATTTTCTCGTTTTCCATAATAGCCTCACACTGTACAGGAATAAATACATGACTGTATTATGTCGTACTTATATTTAAACAATGTTCGGATTTTTTATCTTATACCTAAGTATTTTAGGTACCAACGTATAATTTATGACTCAACGCAATCATCATAGTCAATAATAATGTAATCTAATTATGGTAGAACATTTGACATATTTGTTGTAAGAGAGGAACTAATAAAGTGACCATCTATAAAATATATCAACTAATAAATCCGAACTGGAGAAATTACGAGCGATACTCTCAGAGAAAAATCAGTGGCATACAGAGGAAAAAGGTGACGTGTAAATATTAATATTATTATATAATAATATTAATATTATTATATTACATTTTTAATTTTTATACTTTGTCTTACGTATGTGGACTGTAAAAGAGCCTTCGATTCCGTCGAAATTTGGGCGTTTCCACAATTCCTTAACGGTGCTAAGTTTACTGTCGGTATATCGAAGTGCTGAAGTATTTATATAGTAGGACTACGATGGATATCTGAGTAGTATGGAATAAGAGTACGAAACCTATCCAACTGAAAAGAGGTGTAGCACAGGGTGCCGTTTTATCTCCGAAACTGTTCCCCGCTGCATTGGAAGATATTTTCAAGGTACTGGACTGCAAATGATAAAGTATTAACTTCAATGGCGAGTACATCACACACCTTCGATTTGCCGACGATATATTTCTTATGGCAGAATCTATCTCACTATGCTCAATGACCTTAATAAACTCCAAACTGCCTATCCTATCTAGTAAAATATGCAGGAAGTCGGTAGATGCAGGTTGCTCTGGATCGTGCTTTGTGGCATTTCTTGAAGGAGGTCTCTTTTTTGCTGTGGACTCGTGAAATTTGTGGCAAAACCCAACCGATCCGTTTACTAAAATGGAAATTATAATCAATTTTCTCAGTTGAATATTGGCTCATGTTTCTTTAATATTTGTTTTCTAGATTGAGGCGATCACTTTACCTTGTAAATAAAATAAGCAGTAAGCCAAATAATACTTTCTAGTTCTGGTCCTCGAAATTATTTTTATTACCAACATACAGTGGTATGTACGCTAAGAATAAGAGGTCCCTGTTGAAATCTAACTCTAGTAAACCGTGTAAGTTAATGTAAACTAAGAAAAAATCATGAGCTACAGTGGCTTGTTAAAACTGCGCATTTTAATTTAATTTCACTTTTGAAACACACCTAGTGATTATTAAGTGTAATCTTAGAGTATAGCATTTAGAACGTTGTCACAAATGCATCTTTTACCATTTAGTTTCGTTTAGTTTAGTAGTTGTAGAGCCTTGATCGTCCAGCTTTGCAGGTGATTTGACGATTGTGAACGTTCTAACGGTTTGTATTACACTTAATCCGTCATCGGCCGAAATTTGCACGGGCGACAAC